TGATCTTGGAGGCGCTTTTTCCTCAAAACCCAACAGAGCGTATGTGTAGAGTTCCGTCAAAGCTTAGCTATCTTCATAGTCATCATTTTTGTCAATGATTCCTTTGTGCGAACGAAGGAGGAAATCTCTACATGGTCACACACTTCGCCTCTCCAGGCTAGCGCAATCCATGTGGTACCTACTGCGAACATGCCGCCCTGTAACCGAGAACGTGAAGATCCTCGGTAGTTGTCAATGAGTGTAACTCAGCGTTGTTGATAACTCTCGAATAGCAGCAATCAGCAGTGCCTCTGGAAAGTTGAGTAAACGTCGACCATTCTTCACCTTCAGCCGACCAAAGCAGTACTTTGCTTTGAGTCAAATATCTACGGATGCGAAGCCTGGGACACTATGGCCTGCTGAACAGGTTATCTCCTCAATACAGCACAGATGCTAGCTGCAACGACACAAGACAGAGTGGCTTTATAGGAGCTCGAGAAATAAAATAGTCAAAAGATGGCTCGGTTCAGAGAGAAGTTTGGAGCTGTAAAACGTTGCACGAAGCCTTCATGTACGCTTCTGCTGAACCTTCGAAGACACACTACAGTAATCAAATGCCAAAACAACTAAAGAGTTTTGGTTTTTCCCCAACGGTATTTGTTCAAAGTGCCGCAGGATTTTCTAGACAACTCAATATCTTCTAGAAGTTTCACACAATCTTCAGCCATACGATTTATGTTGGAAGGAGAAAACGTTTACTCAATATGTTACCCTGTTATTATGAGTACGGCTCAAAAAGCTTCGAACACATTTCTACTGTGGTCCGCAAAACCTTTCGAGGTGTTCTCTTCTGAATTTTGAAGAAAAAAGGCTTTGGCCCATCTATGTGAATGCAATGTCTATCGCACGCTCCGTCCCATAGAGCCACACAGGATAGTTCTAAACTCTGAAATCTGGGACAGAAGAGCCACTCTTTTGAGGATATGAAATCGGAAGAGTGGCATAGCCCCGCTCCTTTCGCCTCCTATGAAGAAGCCACGTCCTACTAACGAGGAATGCTCAATTGGTCAGTCCGGCCATTTGTAATGAGGTGTAGTCCGCTGTACTCGTCTTGCGACGCTGAGCTCAAATCCGTTTTCGGTATCTGCGGAACGATTCTCTGAAAGAAGTTACGAGGGATTCTTCTCACTGTGGCTTTCTCACTATGGCGCCCTCTACATCCTCGCATCCCGCTTGCCTCGCTCAAGTTGAGCCGGTGAGGAGTTCTGATGTGGGACTGGTGGTGCAGTGGATAGCACGTTTGCTTCATATTGGTGAGGTCAGATGTTCAAATCCTTGCGCATGGCAAACTTTTGCATTTTTCAGGGCTCCTCATACGAACCCAAAATGTGTTTATATTTGGATATTTTGTCGATTTGCGTCCCCCTTTTACATCTGGAGAGGGCAGACTCTGGAATCTCCTTCTCGTGCTCATTTTTTTCAGTTCTTCGTTAAGATGAACTTGGACACACAGAAGCTCTTAAATTAACAATATTTCGAAAAAATATTCCAGCTACTTGAGCAACTATGATAGTCCCTCACAAAATGATCAAAACAAAACAGATGTATAGTATAACAGATGTATTGGGATGCAAATCGACAAAATATCCAAATATAAACACATTTTGGGTTCGTATGAGGAGCCCTGGAAAAATGCAAAAGTCTGTCATGCGCGAGGATTTGAACA